TGTATGAGCATTTGCCTCCCAAGTTCTGCAATTACAGGCACTAACCACTATGCCTAGCTTCAGTAGTCATGTTTATAGTTGGAGAATAGAACAATGATTACTGGGCACTGAGAGAAGAGAGAATGGGTATCACTATTTAATGAGTATGTAGTCATAGTATGGAGGGATGAGAAAGTTCCAGAGACACAGAGCATGGTAATGGTGTACAACATTGAATGTACTTAATGCCACTAAACATACTCATAAAAATTGTAAAAATAATAATTTTATATAATGTATATTTTATTAGACACAAAAGTCAGAACAAACAAGTTTCACAACTGACTGTAGAAATATACAGCATCTGCATATAGACTAGGAAATTCATGAAAGCTCTACCATGTTGAGTACATTAATGCATTACAAATCTCTGACCTCCATGAAGCCAATGAAAATGAACAGAAAACTGTCATCTGTCTTCTCTATCTCTGAAAAGAAACTGTAGCGTCAAAGACAGAGCTTTATTCAATCAGCAATAATGCATTACCCCAAAATATTTAAAATTGGATGTTGTTGGCAATCAAGACTTCACAAATCTAGTTGGGCACGGTGGCTTATGCCTATAGTTCTAGCACCTGGGAGGCTGAGGCAAGAAGATTGCTGTGACTTGGAGGCCAGCCTGTGCTACATAGTAGGTCTCAGGTTAGCCTGGGCATAATAGTGTGTCCCTGTCTCAAAAAACAAAACCTCACAAATCTCTTGTAAGAAACAGCAAGCTGGGCAGGCAGAGCTAGTAAAGGGCCCTGGTCTTGTCTGCCTATCTTACTAAATGCTATAAATTCCAGTTAACATCTATCTACGGTGTTTAAGTTTTATTTTAGAAGTACTTTAGAATCTACTGGGGATTAAATTCCTGATTTTTTTCCCCTACTGAGTTAGCTGCTAATAACTGCAGGGCCCTACTGTTCCCAAAGCCAGATTTTTGAGAAGCTGTGAATACTCTTAACATTAAGTGACATTAGCATTAATGTTCATAAGTGAAGGGAGAGAAGCACTCCAACATGTTGGAGATAAACAAGGCAGCCAAATGCCTCTAACCTGATAAAAACTAAGTGCACTATAATGCTGTCATTTAGCTCTTCACAGGCAGCTGAGAAGAGAAGCAACAACTATTTTGAGAACAGAGTCTAGGATATCAGTACCCTCCTTAAGCTCCCCAAACCAAAGGGGCTGTTAGGAGAGGCAGCAAACACATAAGCACACAATACCTGTGACAGCAAAGATCGTACTTAAGACTTTTCACCAATGATCCTAAGAATTGCTCCCTACCTCTCTCTCTTTTTTACCTCTTGGTGGTGGTGTTTGAGATCAAACCCAGAGCTTTATTCATTCTAGGCAAGCACTCTACCACTGAGCACATACATCCCCAGTCTTCTTCACCATTCGTGAATAAACTGAGTCTTTCTTCCTAGGAACTGCCTCACCTCTGGCTTGTGGACTCCTCAAGAGATACTTTCATCACTTTCAACTTTGAAAGAGTTGAAGGAGGGTGAGGACACATGTTTGTTAACCATCCTTTTTGGGACAGCCTCATGCATCAGAATGTTTTTATTATTGGTCTTTCGCTGCTACTCCTGGAGAAAAATTTCATTCTGACCTTCCCAAGTTACTGGGAGATGAAAGTGCATGTAACTGACAGTGCAAACGTATCTTCCTGAAATTTTTTTCCCTAGATTTCAGACTACCCAGAGCTTACTGTGGCAGGAGTCTCTCTTCTCTCATCATACAGAACACCAGATATTGAAACCTTCTGCATCAAAATGACATAGTAAAATTAACATGAACTGGTCCAACAGATAGCTCCAGTAGCAAAGGACAGGAGCCTGACCTGCTTCACAGGCCAAGAGGAAAAAAAGAAAATGAAAGCCATTTATAAAAGCAGTTTTAAGTGTGAGGATGGATTCACACAGCTGGCCTTACAAAAGAGAACAAATATGTCAAAGGCAGCAACTGACAGACTAATAGAGTCCTATCCATCTGGCTGAGGAAAGAGCCACTGAGAGGAATACTGAGAAGCCTCTCTGTTAGGAAAAAGCCTGCTTGCTGCCTCACTGGGTGAAGTGAATAGCTTTTAAGAACATTGGAACACATGGTCATACCAAAGCTACTGGCTGATCCTGCCAGTAAAAAACTCAGAAGAGCTACAATGTAATGCATTGGCAAGAAAAGGAGAGCAGGGCATATGTGGTCTCCTGGCTTGGGATCTACTCCTTGGCCTCTCTAACATAGAAGGGTAGGAGGGAAAGAAGGGGACTCAGATGAATAAGGTCTTGTTTTATGCATTTATTATTTATTTAGTGTGTGTGTGTGCACGCTCATGCATGTGGAGGCCTGATGTTGATATCTAGTGCCTTTCCTCGATTGTGCTCCACCCTAGTTTTTGGACGCAGGGTCTCTCACAGATTGAGCTAGACAGGCTGGCCAGCAAGCCCAGGGATCCTCTTAGCTCTGTCTCCTTAACACTGGGACCCATTTCAGGTATATACTCAGTTTTTTTTACATGGCTGCTGAGGGAACAAAATCAGCTTCTCATGTTTGAGCAGTAAGCACTTTACCAACTAAACCATCTCCCCAGCACCTTATTTTGTGCTTTAAAAAAAAATATTTTATTTATTATTTTTATTTTATGTGTATGAGTATATTGCCTGCTTGTAGGTAACTACACCCGTGTAGTACAATGCCCTCGGAGGACAGAAGAGGCTGTCGGATCCCCTGGAACTGCAGTTACAGACAGTTGTTAGCTGCCATGTGGGTGCTGGGATTCAAACCTGGGTCTTCTGCAAGAACAACCAGTGTTCTTAACTGCTGAGCCATCTCTCCAGCCCTATTTTGTGCTTTTTAATACAAGACTCAAAAACCCCAGAATGAAGCTAGGTATGGTGTGGCATACCTGCAATCCTATCATCGAGAGGGAGAAGGCAGGAAGATTAGGAGTTCAAAGCCATCCTCAGCTACTTCTTGAATATGATACCAGCATGGGCTACATGAACCTAGGCTCATGTCTCAAAACCAACCAACCAACCAACCAACCAACCAACCAACCAACCAACCAACCAGAAAAGAGCCTCTGAACAAAACATCAGGTCCAACCCCATGCCATGCAAAAGCCCCATCTGTACCATCTGTACTTTTATATAACAGAGAGGATAAGTGCTTAGGAAGAAGCAGAAATCAGGCCAGACTTAAGAAAAACAAACATACAAGGCTAAGGCTGTGTCTTCAATTCAGTCAATACCACAGAAAAACCTGCAGAAATCACTGTTTAAAGTAAAGGGGATTCAATTACTAAGAAAAATAATCTGTCTCAACAAGGGCTCATGTTCTAATAAGCCAAATACCTTCAGATGAAGCTAAACACAGTTTTCCTACGATTGGAATTTTCATTCATTTCTAAGCTCTCATGTCTTTGGTCTCACTATATAGTAGTCCTGGCTGGCTTGGTACTTACTATGTAGACCAGTCTAGTCTCAGATTCACAGAGATCTTCTTGTCTCTGCCTCTCCAAGTACTGGGATTAAAAGTGTGTACCACCACACCTAGTCTGTTAAGTTTTCAAGACAGGGTCACATGTAGCTCAGGATGGCCTCAAACTCACTATGTAGCTAAGGATGACTCTAAACTCCTGATACTCTTGCTTCCACTCTCAAGTGCTGGGATTGCAAGTGTACACCATCATGTCTAACATCACATATTTTAAAAATCAAAATGAGTATGACTAAAAGTTTGAAAAGTAATGTCTTATCACCTGCTCTACAACAATAATTCATCATTTTCACCTGCACATCTACTGTATAATTAAAAAGACCCTTCAGATGGCACAAAAGAAGAAGGTATTACTCTGTTTCAAGTGCCATCAAGAAATCCTGAATTAATTCTTCTCAGCACCCTTCTTTTGCCCCTCCCCCCACTCAAAGCTCAGTCACAGAATCCCATTACCAGGGAGAAGAAAGCTGCCTGATCTTAGCCACCAACCAGGTCATTCTGGGGAGAGTAGTTACTTACCTGTTCCTCTGACAGCTGAGATATGTGATTCACAGCAGCGTAGGACTCAATTTTGGGATTAAAGTGGTTGATGATGGCTCTGAAATAAAGAATTAATATTAATATGGTCCCAGCTGGAAAAATGACAATAATCCAGTAAAAAATAAGGATTGAATATCCTCTGGTTTTGAATACTATACTAGATCATAGGGTGATTGTCAGAGGGTAACTGCTGTTTTCCTAAACATGAGACTACAATGGGGATGAAATGATAACTGAAACAAGAAGGGTTTAATAGTCTATTACAGAAAGAGAATTAAACACCTTGGCTGTGCAAATGAACTAAGGAAAAAAAACACATAAGCAAAAGATAAAAACCATGTTAAGAGAACAGGACCTTAGGAGCTGTCCACTAGGGGGCCCTGATGTTCAAATGAGAAAGAGGCATAGAGGGAGGGGACTCTGAAACTGGGCCATTATATGTGCTAAATACAGACTCTGAAGAAGCTGAGCTTTAATAAAGTCTATACTCATTCTTCACACTTGGCAGTATGCATTTCCAAACCAAAAATTAAATTCCAGCCATTGAAACAAAAATCAGAATATCATTTTCTTTTTGAAATTAATTTTTTAAAATTTGTTATTCATGCAATGCCCATGGAGGACAGAAGAAGCTGTCGGATCCCCTGGAACTGGAGTTACAGGCAGTTGTTAGCTGCCATGTGGGTGCTGGGATTCGAACCTGGGTCTTCTGCAAGAACAGTGGTCTTAACTGCTGAGCCATCTTTCCAGCCCCCAAAATTAATTTCTTAATTAATTTGTTTATTTATTTGGTCTTTTTGAGACAGGGTCTCCCTGTAGCCCCAGCTGGCCTGGAACTTGCTTTGTAGACCAGGCTGTCCTTGAATTCACAGAGATCCACATGCCTCTGCCTCCCAGTGCTGAGCTAAAGGCATGCGCCACCAGAATATCACTTTTAGCATTCCCTGTCTATCACTTGTTTACTTCCAAGGTCACCAAATCTTATCAAATCTACCTCTCAAAAAATATTTCTGTGGGGTTGGGGAGATGGCTCAGTGGATAAAATGTTTGCTACCCAAACCATGAGGACCTGAGTGTGGCCCCAGCACCAACATAAAAGCCAGGCAGAGTAGTATGCAAATGTAACCCCAACACTGGTGGGGGCAGGTAGTGTAGAGCTAACTGTCTAACCAGTGTAGCCAAAATAGATAGCTCCAGGTTTAGTGAGATACCCTATTTCAAATGAGGTGGAGAAGCAACTGAGGAAAACATCCCAATGTTGAACTCTGGCCTCCACATGTGCCTGCTTTGTCTCTGTCTGTCTGTCTGTCTGTCACACACACACACACACACACACACACAGAGTCTCTGAAATGTGAAAATAAGTCTCCCTGAAACCAATGCCTTGGTATAGGTTCATGCCTGGTAAAGCAGAATGAATATGTTTTATTTCTTTATGTTTTTTAGACAGGGTCTCATTCTATTGCCTAGGTTGGTCTCAAACTTTTGGAAATTATTGGATAAATGAGAGGGGGAGCTAAATTTTTACTACACAGTGCCTCAACTAATATGTGCAGGTATTTCCTCCTATAGGAGATGGAGTTTAATTATTACCAGTACTAAGTATTGGCTAAATTTAGTGATTTTTTTAGAGAAGCGAAAGAGGAAAAACTGTAATTTTACATTGAAGAAGCCTGGGAACAGAGCATTAACCAGATGAAGAAGGTTAACAGCTCCAGTAACATAGTGTGGATGTCATGTAACTTCTAGCATGATACCATGAGAAGGGCATTTCACCTCTTGTGTTTTTCCAGAAACTTCTAAACCTAAGAAAAGCATCAATCAGTCAGCATAGTGGTATACACTTGTAATTCCAGCACTCAGAAGATGGAGGCAGGAGGATTAAGGGTTTGAGGTCGGTTTGGACTACATAGTGAGACCTGGTCTCAAAAAAAACAAGGGCTGGATGTATTGCTTAGGTAGAGTGTTTGCCTAGCATGTACAAGGCCCGGGGTTTGATCCCTAGTACAGAAAAAGGGATCAAAGGGAAGAACAAAGGAAGTAGGATCGGAGGGAGGAAAGGAAGAATACAGTATTCCGTAGGCTACCAGTATTCCTTAAGACTATAAAGGTTGCCAAGTGTGGTGGTGTACACAATTAACCCCAGCGCTCAGGAGGCAGAGGAAGAGGCAGGAGGGTTTGTATGAGTTCAAGGCCAGCCTGGTCTATATAGCAAGTTCCAGGCCAGTTAGGGCTACATAATTGAGACTATGTCTTTAAAAACAAAAAAGACCATAAAGGTCATGAAAAGCAAAACTTGAGAAAATGTCGTAGATCAGAGAACACTGGGAAGACATGACAACTAAATATAGTAAGTACCCTGGTCTAGGTTCTGGAACAAAAAGAGGATAGTGATGGATAAACTGTGACGTTTAAATAAAATAGGATAGTGATGGATAAACTGTGATGTTTAGTTAAGAGCGATAGATCAATGCCAGTTTCTTTGTGCTAATGAATGAATGAATCATGTTAACATGAGAGACAAAACTAGACTGAGGATATACAGAAATCTGTATTATCTTTGTAGTTTTCCTGTAAATCTAAAATTTTTCCAAAATAAGTTTATGAAAACATGTATGTGGGGGCTGGAGAGATGGCTCAGCAGTTAAGAGCACTGGCTGCTCTTGCAGAGGACCTAGGTTTGATTCCGAGCACCCACATGGTGACTAACAACTGTCCGCAATTCCAGTTCCAGAGGATCCGATGCGATCTTCTGACCTTTGCAGGCATTGTATGACATGGGAACACTTACACACATGCAGGGAATATACTCATACACATAATAAATAAATAAAATATAAAAGAAAAAAAAGTATGTGCATGAGATACCATAAAAATCAATATTTTTGGGCCAGGCACGGTGGCACATGCCTTTAATCCCAGAACTCGGGAGGTAGAGGCAGGCGGATCTCTTTGAGTTCAAGGCCAGCCTGCTCTACATAGTGAGTTCCAGGACAGCTGGGGCTGTTTATGTATGTGTAGAAACACAGTGTTTATTATGTATGTGTAGAAACACAGTGTATGTATCCTAGGCTGACCTCAGACTTCTTGTTTAGCCAAGGGTGACCTTGAACTTCAGATCCTCTTGCCTCTGATTGGGTTAAAATTGAAGCTTGATCTAAATCCAAACTAAGAAAGAATTTTGGGACCAAATAGGGGCCAATGTGTTCCTTATTTATAGTGTGAGGTTCAAGCATATTTGGCAGGGTTGACCACTGGGTCCAGAAGCAAAGGACCCTGATAGTTCAAAGGAAAATGTAAAACAGTTGGACTTCATCAAGTATGTGGGGTGGAGGGACTTACGTGGAGGACAGAGAACAACTTTCAAGAGTCTGTTCTCTTCTTCCACCTCCCTTTGGGTACCAGGGATTGAACTCAGGTAGTCAGGCTGTGTGGCAGGAGCCTTTTACCCAATGAGCCATCTTGTTGATCTAGGAATATTTTTTTTTT